TGGTTTTCTCCAAAGGTAGTAATGGTGTAACATTTTAGTAATTCTACAATTATGCCAACCTAATTATGTGAGCTGTAATTTAAAACTGACCCATTAAAGATATCAGGAAAGGCAAATAAATGTGGTGTAACATATTCAGTTTACATTATTTCTAACGGTAATGAATAATTTGGTTTTCAAACAAATCACTTCTCCAACAGCATTCCGGAATGAATTAAGCTCGAGATCTGAGGTTCCACTGTACTTCTAAATGAACCTATCTGGGATTTAACTATCCAGTAAATAACTGTCCAGTTTTGATAATCCATTTCATTTTTTTTAAGTATATTTTCATTGACTTTAGAGAGGAAGGGAGAGGGAGAGATAGAAACATCAATGATGAGAGAGAATCATTGATCAGCTGCCTCCTGCATGCCCCATACTGGGGATCCAGCCCGCAACCAGGGCAGATGCCCTGACTAGGAATTGAACCATGACCTCCTTCCTGGTCCATAGGTTGACACTTAACCACTGAGCCACGCCGGCTGGGCAATCCATTTCATTTTATATGAAATAAATAATATTATAAATTTCATTTATTCTGTAATCCTGAGAATAAATATTTTAGGTCAGATTATGCAGACAAAAACAGAACCAAAATCAATGCAAAAGTGATAGATATATCACCTTGTAGGTTTGTTTTAGGTAGATAATGTATAAAGGAGAAATTCCTGCGGAAAACTACAAGACACTGAAAAAAGAGATAGAGGAAGACATAAACAGATGGAAGAACATACCGTGTTCATGGATTGGTAGAATCAACATCATCAAAATGTCCATATTACCCAAAGAAATCTATAGATTCAATGCAATCCCCATTAAATTACCAACGGCATATTTCACAGATCTAGAACGAACGCCCCAAAAATTCATCTGGAATAAAAAAAGACCTCAAATAGCTGCAGCAATCCTGAGAAAGAAGAACAAAGTAGGTGGAATCTCAATACCAGATATCAAGCTGTATTACAAAGCCACTGTTCTTAAAACAGCATGGTACTGGCACAAGAACAGACATGTAGATCAATGGAATAGAATAGAGAACCCAGAAATCGACCCAAACCACTATGCCCAATTAATATTCGACAAAGGAGGCAAGAGCATACAATGGAGTCAAGACAGTCCCTTCAATAAATGGTGTTGGGAAAATTGGACAGATACATGCAAAAAGATGAAACTAGACCACCAACTCACACCATACACAAAAATAAACTCAAAATGGATAAAAAACTTAAACGTAAGATGGGAAACCGTAAAAATACTAGAGGAATCCATAGGCAGCGAAATCACAAACATATGCCGAAGGAATTTCTTCTCTGATACTGCTCCTAGGGCAATGGAAACTAAAGAGAAAATAAACAAATGGGACTACATCAAAATAAAAAGCTTTTGCACAGCAAAGGAAACCATCAACAAAACAACAAGAAGGCCCACTGCATGGGAGAACATATTTGCCAATGATATCACCAATAAGGGTTTAATCTCCAACATCTATAGGGAACTCATACAATTTAACAATAGGAAGATAAACAATCTAATCAAAAAATGGGCAATGGACCTAGATAGACACTTTTCAAAAGAGGACGTACAGAAAACCGAAAGACATATGAGGACATGCTCAAAGTCACTACTTATACCAGAGATGCAAATCAAAACAACAATGAGGTACCATCTCACACCTGTCAGAATGGCTATCAACAAATCAACAAACAACAAGTGTTGGAGAGGATGTGGAGAAAAAGGAACCCTTCTGCACTGCTGGTGGGAATGCAGACTCGTGCAGCCACTGTGGATAACAGTATGGAGTTTCCTCAAAAAACTAAAAATGGAACTCCCATTTGACCCAATGATCCCACTTCTAGGAATATACCCCAAGAAACCAGAAACACCAATCAGAAAGAATATATGCACCCCTATGTTCATAGCAGCACAATTCACCATAGCTAAGATTTGGAAACAGCCTAAGTGCCCATCAGCAGATGAGTGGATTAAGAAACTGTGGTACATCTACACAACGGAATTCTACGCTGCGGTAAAAAAAGAAGGAACTCTTGCCATTTGCAACGGCATGGATGGAACTGGAGAGCATTATGCTAAGTGAAATTAGCCAGTCAGAGAAAGATAAATACCACATGATCTCACTCATTTGTGGAATATAGAGAACTACATAGACTGATGAACAGGGACAGATCCAAAGACAGAGAAACAGCGGTCAGCCTATCAATCCCCAGAGGGAAAGTAGGGGAGGGAGGGGGCAAGGGGAAGAGATCAACCGAAGGACTTGTACGCATGCATATAAGCCAAACCAATGGACATGGACAACAGGGGGCTGAGAACATGTGTGTGGAGGGGTGGAGGTTGGGGGTTAATGGGGGGATGAGGACACATTTGTAATACCTTAACCAATAAAGGAATTAAAAAAATAAATAAAAAATAAAAATAAAAATAAAACGCATACAAAAAAAATTAGCCTGCTATATTTGGTCAAACATTTCAGTAACTCACCGCTAATGCCTTGGCAGGGCCACACCAAATGATTTCTTGGGTCTAATTTGCTCTCAGGTCGGACATTCCCCACCCCTGCCCTAATGGTTGAGTACTTTACTAACTTAAAATCTGACTTGGCTTTAGCTGGTTCGGCTCAGTGGATAGAGCATCAGCCTGGGGACTGAAGGGTCTCAGGTTCCATTCTGGTCAAGAACACTTGTCCAGGTTGAGGCTAGATCCCCAGTAGGGGGCCTAGTGCAGGGGGCAGCGGATCAACAATTCTCATCATTGATTCTCTCCCTCTTCCTTCCTCTCTAAAGTCAATAAAAAAATATTTTTTAAAAATAAAATTTTTACTTGACTAGAATTATGGGTGAGAACCAACCCTCCCAGGGCACCTTAATGATTTTACGTGTACATAAGAAAAACCTTACGTAATCAAACAATCACATTTTTATTGTCATTATCTTGTATTATCTCATCATTCTTTCACATAAAAGGGCCTGTGGGAAAGTACATGTAACTAGGAATCAAGCTGTAATAAAAAAATTCAGCCCTTTCTCTTCAGGGATATATATTTAATGAAGAGATAATGGGGATGAACTTTCTGATTTATTTTCGCTAAAATGTAAGTATTTTTAAAAAATTCAAGGTCAGTTCATATTAAAATGGTCAAGCAACTCTATAGATCCCTAGATTTTACACACCTCTTCCCATGACAGAATACCCAAAATAACTCTCCTAAGAATGTTAAAATCTAATGAGGCTCTGGACAACCATATAAATTTTTACTTTTTCCTTGGATTATGTATCTAATCCTCTCCATAAATGTATTTTAAAACAAGATCTTTCTTAGTCAATCCACAATTAGCAAAGATTAGTGTCATTCAAGGTAAAATATTCTTTTCAATTCATCCCAGATTCTAAGTGACTCTTCGTAAACAAGGAATGCAAGATGTGAAACTCAAAGTGAAATATGTGGGACCCTAAGAAGAGGGAAAAGTACTTCTAATTTAAGCTGGTTGAGGGAAAGCTGATCATTTGAAATGCTTTTATACACGTTGCACTCATATTGCTGATAAGTGTTATTGCCAAGATCCTTAACTGTTCTACAAGTTGTTGCTGTGGCATCACCTTATGAAAACTTTGGAATACTTTCAGTGATAATGTCAAATCTGGGTTTATATTTCTTAACCCAACGGAATTGTTTATATCAACTAACAGGTCAGAGAGATAGAAAGCAAAATTACTAAACTCAAAGGGATCTACCAATTTTTCCAAAATCAATGTGTATCTTGTCACACAGGAACTACTCCACTCCCCCTTTGTTAGAGAAGGCAGTTACTCTTTGGCATCTTCTTACTACTGATCTTTTCATTCCTTATCTAAAACGTAATCTAATGAATCTTTTGTAGATGGACTAGTCCCTGTAATTGGTTTATTTTCAGTTAATGTATATGAAACCTACTTTCCTTTTGAATACCCACAAAGTCCTGTTTCCCCAGGTTTGAACTCTAGGATCCCTAAGTTCCCATTGCTATGACACATTCAAATCAACAACTGGCTCAAAAGCTCTGCTCTTGCAAACAAAAGCTTGCGGTGGTGTCTGCAGGTCCTGGGCTAGCAGCCACCCCACACTAGTCTATCACAAGCGCAGCTTCGGGCTCTGAGAAATTAAAACGGGCACGCACCGGAGGGAGGGGAGAGATCCTAAAGATCATTCAGGGGTGGGGGTGGGGAGACAGGCTACAGTCCAGGGAGGCAAGGTAGCCCCCGCAAACGCCTCGGTAACCTCGTGCATGCCACAGGCAGGTACCGGTTCAGGTCAGGGAGGTCCGGCATTCCGGTCCTCAGGCGCACACAGGATCGCCTGCTCGGGCCGCAGAGAGCAGCCTGGACTGGTGGAGAAAGAAGCACGCGCCACACCACCCTCACCCTTCCCCGGGGAGCTCACCGGTGCTGCAGCCCCACGAGTCCCAGAGCGATCACATGCGGCACATCTAACTGCGTGGGCCACTCTCCGGAGCTGATGCACCCGAACACGCCGCATTCCTCTCGGATCCCCGACTCCTCCAGCTCCATGTCGCCAGAGAACCCACGTGGAGGGAGGAGCCGCCGCCGCCGCCGCGCCGCCGCCGGGTCTAAGCACAAACCTGCTGCCCGCTGGGCCCGGACGCCACAGGAGCTCGCGCCCGAGACAGCTGCTTCCTTCCCAGCCGCTCAGCCCGCGCTACTGCGGCGGCGCGTGCTTCCAAGAAAGGGAGTGAGCGAGACTAGCTTGCCCCCGCCCCCTCCTCCGACTCCTCCAGGCCCACCAATGAGCGAGGGCGGAAGGAGGGGCCCGGGCGGAGGGGCGGAGTCACGAGCTCCGGGGAGGTGGAGCTAGTGCTCCACTGGAGCGCCGCTGGGAGCTAATTTTAGGCACGTGGAGATCCCCGTTATTTTCCAGCTTCTAAGACTGGAGTGAGGAGACAAGTGGGGTTCACGTCACCTCTCTCGCCGAGGATGTAACCTTCGAACGCCCCCACCCACAGGCCTCCCCCCGCCGTCGCTACTTGGTACACTCCAACCTCTGAACCGCTCTCGCAGCAGAGAAGGGAGCCCCATCAGCGAGACCTGTGGAGCGGGGAGGGGCCGCCATTGCGCGCCACTTTGAGCCTCTCCGGGAACCGCGCCGGCGCCGGACGAGAAGGGGGCGAGGCGAGGGCGGGAGGGGGGCGGTGGGCGTCGCTGCGCCTGCGCGGCGGGAAGCCTCGCAGAAAGCGCTCACTCCCCGAGTCCCCACCAGCTTGGTGGGCAGCGACACCCCGGGTTCCGCCGCAGTTCTGGAACCGAGCGCCGCTCCGGGTGACGCCGCACTGCCGGGGGCGTGTCTCTGCCCCGCGCCTCCCGCCCTCGCCCCGTGAGCCTCTCTGACCCCTCCTTTCCGGAGTCCCGCGTCTCGGCCGCCGCTCCCAGCCCACCCAGGATAATGGCGACAGCTGAGGGTGAGTAACGGGCATCCGGGACTCCGCCGGGGCCTCCTGCCCTCCACGGCCTGCCCGGCCCCCGGCCTCGGGCTCCTGGTCTCGGCGCGGACACGTGCGCCCCGTTGGCCCTGACCCCAGCCTCCCTGGCAATGCCGGATCTCCCGGTCCCCGCCCCTCCAGGCCGCCGCGCGGTCGGACACGTGGCCCGGCGCCGCGGTACCGAGCCTTGTAAATAAAGCGCCCCCCGGCCTCCCGAACTTGCCGAAACACCCAGGACTGCGTCTGGGGTGGGCTGAGGACGGAAGGGAAGGGATAGTTAGGACAGAAATGGCCAGCGGGTGAAGAGGTGCCTGGAAGTCAGTTTTGTAATCAATAGGTACTGAAAAACAAACACTGGAACATCTCGTGTTGACTCTTCAAACTAGGTGACTCTTCTTGTTAGGTTAATAATAACCTTCTATTCCAGAAAGTTAATCATTGAACCTTCTGAAAAATTTGCTATTTTCTGTCCCGATTTGGGGTGTGTTTTTAAAGTAGTCTTGTAAAGCCATGATGGCTTTGGAGGGCTCTGAAACCACCAGGCAAGTGCACTAATTTGTAGCAGGCATTTCGGTACTTGTAGCATGTTTCCCATGATTAAGATATTTCTACCCATAATTCCTACCCTATTTAATGACTAGGTTAAAAGGTATTGATTCAACTAAATTGGGAAGGTGGGGCAGTAGGTACAAACTTCGTTTTGCCTTTTACCTAACCTAGGCAACATATTGACTTTTTCCTGTCTCTGTTATCTCCCAAAATGAATCAATTGTTCTAAAATTTTTTTACCTTTTAGCCCAGCTGGCGTGGCTCAGTGGTTGAGCATCGACCTACAAACCAGGAGGTCACACTTCAATTCCCGGTCGGGGCACATGCCTGGGTTGCATGCTCAATCCCCAGTGTGGGGCATGCAGGAGGCAGCCAATCAGTGATTCTCTCTCATCATAGATGTTTCTCTCTCTCTGTCCTCCTCTCCCTTCCTCTGAAATCAATAAAAATAAATTAAAAAAATTTTTTTTTTACCGTTTAAATATCTCGAGTCTTTTTCCCATTACTTTTCCTTAGACCAGGACGTTTCTTGCCTGTATTGCTGCGACAGTATCCTAACTCTTCTCTCTGTCTCTTTCCCCTTCTTCATTTCATTCTTCATACAGCAGCCATAATGATCTTTCTAATATAGAAATCTGTCATTTTACTAAATGCTTAAAAGCCACATGTTTGTTCTTGGGATAAAGTCTAAACTCAGTCAACATGGTGTATCAGACCTAAAGGATGAGGAGTGAAGGAAACCAACTTTATTCTAGGCCCAGGGAAGAGCATGTCCAAAGCCTGGGAGGGGGATATAGAAATTCAGTTACAGAAGTTAGAGTCCCCGGAAAGGAATGAGACATTGAATTTGGACCACTACGCTGGGGCTGTCTTGAAAGGCCTTTTTTAAGCCTTGTCCGTGAGTCAAGACATTATACCAGGAGATGGGAATTCATCCTCTAAATTATGTACCCTGCTGTGGCCCGCCTCTTTAGTTAAACTAGATTGTAATTGGTTTGTTTGGTGGTTCCCTGCACTAGCTGGAGATGACCTACTTCCCCAACTCTTGTGGAAGTCTTATCGCCTGCCATTTGTTGCTACTCTTAGCTGCTGCCACCCTCCCTGCCCAGCAGCAATGTACACACAAAGTGCTCCAGATGTACTGAAGTTCTGCCATGTATTCTTTCCCCCATGGTCTTTTTTCATTACCACTACCTACCCCTTTCCCTCTTCTGGTTAAATTGTGATCATTCCTCAGATCTCAGCCTAATCCTCTCATTGTTCTTTGAGGTCTAGACTAGGTTTGGTGACCCCGCTATGAACCTGTGTTCCCATAGTCTATATTTCTTACACTATACTTACTAGATGTCTTATTTAATTTCAGCTGCCCTCAGACTCAGGGCACTTGACAGCATGAACTTCATCTCCTTTACTGGTATATCCCTACTACCTGACACATGAACATTAAAAAATGCTGATACTGAGAATGAGTGATTTCTCCCCTTGGAAATGTTAAGTCCTTGAACTTCTGTTATCTCTGATCGTCATCTAGGTCTTACAACCTGCATCAAAATTGGGTTCTCTATGGGTGGGGGATTGAGCTTGCAACAGGTACATGCCCTTGACCGGAATCAAAACCAGGACCCTTCAGTTTGTAGACTGGCAATCTACCCACTTTGCCAAACCAGCTAGGGCAAAATTGAAGTCTCTTGTCCTTACTTCCTCATACTTTTCTGCAACTGTTAAGAGAAAGGGTTAACTAAGGGTAGAAGATTGGGAAGCAGGATTGAGAAAGAGAAAGGAGCTTCCAGGTGAGCTAACTACTGATGGAGGTGCCTTTCCTTGCACATTAACTTGAATCGGGAACCAATTTGGCTGAACTTGCCTATCTCACCTGCCATGGAAAGCAGAAGTCAGGCAAAATAAAGCATTCCCTCTCCCCCAACCCTGGCCCCTGCAAGCTAGGTTAGTTATTGTATGTATGTGAAAATACTAGTATATTTACATTAATTTTAATGGATCTTAATTCTACTTCAGTTCTGCTCTAAGAGTCAGGTTGATAGTGGAAAGACCACAGAATTTGATAGAAGATTCAGAATTTTGTCTGGTTCTGCCATTTCCCAATTCGTGACCTCTACCTTTTTGATACTTGTTTCCTAATCTCTACAATTATTTACACAATAGTTCTTCACAAAATTGTGTGAATCAAATATGATGATGCATGTGGAAATACTTTAGAGTATATGGTAAGCTCCTATGCAGATGAGCTTATTATTAAAATTTTGCTTAACCACTGTGTTCATTGATTCATCATTCTAAGTAGTCTTCACTGTTTAGCAAAATTCTTCCTGAAATATGTTTCCATTCTATTTCCACAGTACTGAACATTGGTAAAAAGCTCTATGAGGGTAAAACAAAAGAAGTCTATGAATTGTTAGACAGTCCAGGAAAAGTGCTCCTGCAGTCCAAGGACCAGATTACAGCAGGAAATGCAGCCAGAAAGAATCACCTGGAAGGAAAAGCTGCAATCTCAAATAAAATTACTAGTTGTATTTTTCAGTTGTTACAGGAAGCAGGTAAGTGGCTCTCCCAGTAGCCTCCCACTTCATGTTCTCTCTCACATACACATACTGGTCCTTTTCAGGGAGAAACGACACATTGTATTAACAGCATGTTGATTACTAGTTATTATTTTTTTTAGTTCTTAGAGGAATCAGGTAAGTGGCTTCCCTTTATCAGGGAGGTATATACACAACACACTCTAATCTCTTTCATGGGTAGATGACACTATTTGTATTAACATTTTGTTTGGAGATGCCTCACAAGTAAACTTATTTAAATCAAACCAGGGACTCAGATTTCACTATAACATTTTACTTGGTTTGGAATTAGTAAGTAGTAGTATTTAGTTAATTAAAAGGAATCTTCCCTGCAACTTCTAGGGCATCTTCCTAAGAGAGACTTACCTATGAAGGACCTTAAGGAATGTACCTATGAAGGAAGCAAATTCTGGTGTTAGGCAGCTCTAGTTGATGAGTTGAAATTTATGAGCTGTAATTCTATACAATTATTCTGTGTTCCATCCTTGGAGATAATACAGAATTTAAAATTTCTCTTCCACTTGAAAGCTCTGAAAAGTGTTTGAAGACTAACCACATTTCATCCCGCTATTCCCCAAGTGAGGGATTTGGACTAGATCAAAGATCTTCAGGATTACCTCCTACTCCAAAACTGAAGACTTTCCAATAGAGATGTCTACTAGAAAGATAAAAGCAAGATCAAAACATTCTATGGAGTGAAGGAAGGGGAATTAGGATAATGTATTTTTCTGCAGCTTGGTCTGTGGTGTATGAAATCTTAACCTGTTAAAGATTTGCACTCTTTCCCTTTAATAGTCTCATTGTCTTCGATCATTCAACCTTTGAAGCCTCTGGTTCCTTACCTATTAAATAAAAGCTTTGTTCTTTATCTCAGTTCTAATTTTATAACTTAATAACTTTGTCTCCTTTTATTTGCACTTTTCCCAGTTGCCCTTTCGTAATTTAGAGCTTCCAGTAAGCATTAGTCTTCCTTAAATCAAAAGGGGGATTTCATACACTTGTTGCCAGTCAAGGTAGACATGCCTGCCTTATACAAAATAAGGTAATTTATGCAGCCGTATCAAATTCGGTGCCTGATCCCCTCTGCTGGGCCTCAGGGATAAGTTTGGCTACAGACATCAAGGAAAACAAAAAACAAAATAAGGTAATTTAAGTTAAATCCATTCTGTTAGTACAGAATGGGTTCTAGATAGTTTTGTCTCTTCCAAAGTACCATTTCACTGTTCGTTAATACTCACCCAAGGATACTTTTTCCACCGATTTTTAGAGAAAGAGGAAGGGAGGGGGAGAAAGAAACATCGATGTGAAAGAGATACATCTATTGGCTTCTTCCCGCAGGCATCCCAACCGGTGCTGGGGATCGAACCTGCAACCCAGGCCTGTACCCCTGACTGGGAGTCAAACCCAAGTTACTTAACACTGTAAATTGTTAATAAATTAGTATCTGTGTACCCACGGTAATTGCATATAGCTGTGGGAGTGTGTGTGTAGCACACACACATATATGCACTTTAAAGTAATAGAAGATAAGTACAGCCCAAGCTTTTTGCTTATTTAATAAGGCACTATCAGTATACTTTCTGGGGTTTAAGAACAAGTGAATTAGAGTGATCCAAGTTGTTTAGGGTGTCTCCTAGTTTGACTTTGAAAGTCTTGCAGCTCAGGTAACTAGGAAAATTGATTACCTTAAATAAAGTACTCTTAACAATTCTCTTTAAACTATTGTATTTGACACATTTAACATAGCTGAAACTTATTTGGCTCACAGGAAATGTTGAAAAGTATTTTCCAGGCTTTATATGTTGTAAAATTAAGGAAAACCTAGGTTTTTTAAAATTCTTGAACAAGCCAGCACCGGTTTGGCTCAGTGGATAGAGCGTCGGCCTGCGGACTGAAGGGTCCCGGGTTCGATTCCGGTCAAGGACATGTACCTTGGTTGCAGGCACCTCCCCAGTGGGGGGTGTGCAGGAGGCAGCTGATCGATGTTTCTAACTCTCTATTCCTCTCCCTTCCTCTCTGTAAAAAATCAATAAAATATATTTAAAAAGATTAAAAAAAAATAAAATTCTTGAACAAATCGGTTTGAGGACAGATTAAGAGTTCTGTTAAGCTTTATGTAATTTTTACTTGCTACTAGTTGAATAAATGCTGTGTCTAATTGACCACCAATGGTCTATTTAAAATTTTTTTCTTTACAACCAGGGTTATGTTCCAAATTAAGGTATTTCAAGAAATTAGAATGGGAAGAGCACCAGAATGAGAATCAATAAATCAGGATCCTAGTTTTCTCGTCACTCATGAACAAACTATAAAATACTGAGCAAATAATAGGTATAGGTAATACTGTTTTTCCCTGGTAATTATTATATTACACGCTATACCTGAGTTAGAAGATTTGTGGATTTGGTCTCAATGTTTAAAAATCAAAATTTAACCTTTAAGTTTCAGCTCTCCCACAAAAATGCACTGAAATTACATTTAGGTGTGAGAGTAGTGATATGAATAACAATCCTACGGGTTGCCAAACCACGGATGGGAAGCTGGGCAGCCTTAATACATGGATGGCCCCAGGAATATGTGGGCTGTTTATCATACGTGGCCATTGTAATTCAGAGTATGAAGTAACATATTTACATTTTCTTAGTAATCTTGATGGCTTTGAATTTTGTAGACAACAGACAAATGGGGGGAGTTCTTTTTCTCATTGTATGTAATCATGAAATTTGCTTTAATGGTTAGCATGTGTATTAAAAGGAATCATATCATTTAATCATTTAACTAAATCAGTCTTTTTTAGAAGTGTTGTTTTTTTTTTCTCTGTACAAGTTTATTACCATAAGTTGATTCTGTGCTTTTGGTTCCCTTAGAGATGTGTGTATGTCGCAGGGTGGGGGCTGGGAGGAGTTTCTCTGGGTAAAAGTAACTTGTTTATGTTTAAACAACAGATTTGGACAAATGAGCAAATATGACTAAGGACTAATAGGTCTGAAAAAGAATAGCTCTTGAAACCCAGCAGTGAGGCACATAGTTAATCACCTTGAGTTAAGGATTGATGTCAATCATCTGCCCATGAGCCCAGTCATTTCCTGGTTATGCAGCATACCACAATTTACCCTGTTTCCATTGAATTTTACTGGTCAAACCCAGAGGAGATGCAGAGAAAGCAGCATAGGTTTTGGAACTGGACAGTGCACTTCCAAGTCCAGGCACCATTACTCATTGGCAGCATAACCTAGAGTTTCCACTTCATTTCTTTGAGTCTCTGCTTCTTTCACTATAAAATGTAAATAATAATACCTATCTCAAAATTTTTATATTTGGTTAAATAAGATAATGCATAAAACACTCAGAACAGTGCAGAGTTTTTATAAATGTAAATTCCTTTCATGTATGGATACATACGTATGATCAATGATCTCTAGTCCTTTCCTAAGAAAACTTTTGTCTTAGAGGATTACATTGGCAATGGAGGTACTAACATTGCAGCCTTGAGATGAATATTATATTAAGCCCATGCGGGTTTGTTGATTCGCGTTCATGCTCTAGTATTACTTTGTATTGGGATATAATAACACTTTGGGGACAGGTAGTATAGTATAGTGGTTAAGTGGGCAGCCCACAGAGTTCAGTATGGGTTGGAAACCCTGCTATACCTACTACTAGCTGACGTAACTACTGTGCCTTAGTGTCCTCATCTGTTTGTTGGATAATCATACTACCTACCTTATCAGGTGTTATGAGGGTTAAACAAAAAGAAAATAAATTAGCAATGCCTGACAAATTAGGTCTTGATAGTTTTAAAAGTTACTTTGTGGCAAAATATACATACATAAAATTTACCGTTTTAACCATGTTTACATGTACAGTTCTTGGCGGTAAGTACATACACAGTGCTGTGCAACCATTACCACTATCTATTTTCATAACTTTCATTGTCCCAGACAGAAACCCTGACACATTATGCCGGGGTCCAACCCCAGCAGGTCCAGGGGTCCCCAAAGGTGTAGACGGAGTCGGCGAAGAAGGAAGGACACGGAGACAGTGTTCAGTTGATCAGCAGCCTAGCCAGGATCTCCAGCCAGGATCTCCAGCCAAGTTCTGGTCTGGATCTCCAGCGAAGTTCTGCTGTTTATTGTCTTGTTACATCCGCATTTATACCAGTTGATTTTAATCCTGTCAAGTTCTATTACAAAGGTTAGGGCGTTTCTTATCTCCATTCCAGGGAGTAAAGATTATGTAGCTTAAACATGATTGTTTGTAGTTAAAGTGATTAACTACCCGCCTGGCACTTAGTTAAGGAGTTTCATCCCCTCCCTAACTTCAGGGAAAAATTCCTACCTGGGGAAACAACCTTTCTAGGAGAGGCATCCCCTCCCTGACTTCAGGGAAAAATTCCTACCTGGGGAAACAACCTTTCTTGGAGAGGTGACCTTGGTTAAAACACACAGCGCTAAGGGGAGCAAACATATTAAGAACAGTATGCTATATACGCCAGGTCCCTTGAAACATATGCTGTGCAGATGTTTCTTTCCTGCAGCGACTGTGTCAAGCAGCAAGGATGGACCGGCTTCCGGCAACATTAAATAGTAATTCTCTATTCCCCCTTCTCCCTAGCTTCTGGTATCCTCTGTTTTACATTTATCTATGAATTTGTCTATTTTAGGGACCTTATATACGTGGAATGAATTATATTCATTCGTTATTTCACTTAGCATGTTTTCAAGTTTAATGCATGTTGTAGCATGTATTAGAATTTCATTCCTTTTTATGACTGAATCCATTGAATGTATATACTACATTTTGTCTACCCATTCATCTGTTGATGGACACTTGGGCTGTTTCTCCCTTTTGGCTATTAGGAATTACTAGTATGCTGTTGTGAACATTGGTGTATGAGTACCTGTTTGAGTACCTGCTTTCAGTTCTTTTCAATATAGCCTTTCGTAGAAGTGTTATTACATCACTCTATAAAGTAATACTATAGCATTAATGGGAACTCCTACATGAGTTTAACATAACGTTCATCTTCAGGCTGTAATGTTAATACCTAGAAATCCTAGAAATGGAATGCTAATATGGTTTGTTATTTTCCAAGACTACCACATAAAATAGCTCCCATTTTAAACATCACAAGTCAGCTCTTTATTTTAGTTTTCCAATAATAGTTTGAATAAGAGAGAAGGAGAGGAAGAACAACTATTTTATTTGCTGTTGGCCAAATTGGCCATTATGTCCCTGCTGCTAATTGTTGGGTGGTTTTTTAAAGATAATTTGCTTCTAATGTTAAGAGAAAAAAGCTATTCAAAATTTAAGATTATAGCCGATTGTGCTATGTAGATCGATTTTTTACAAGGCCTGTATAATAATGGACCATAGAATGCTGGGGTCCAACCCCAGCAGGTCCAGGGGTCCCCAAAGGTGTGGACGGAGTCGGCGAAGAAGGAATGACATGGAGACAGTGTTCAGTTGATCAGCAGCCTAGTCAGGATCTCTAGCCAGGATCTCCAGCCAAGTTCTGGTGTTTATTGTCTTGTTACATCTGTATTTATACCAGTTGATTTTAATCTTGTCAATTTCTATTGCAAAGGTTAGGGCGTTTCTTACCTCCATTCCAGGGAGTAAAGATTATGTAGCTTAAGGGTGATTGTTCGTAGTTGAAGTGATTAACTACCCGCCTGGCATTTAGTTAAGGGGTTTTATTTCCTCCCTAACTTAAGGGAAAAATCCCTAGCTGGGGAAACAACCTTTCTCAGAGAGGTGACCTTGGTTAAAACACATAGCGTTAAGGGGAGCAAACATATTAAGAACAGTATGCTATATACTCCAGGTCCCTTGAAACATGCTGTGCAGATGTTTTTTTCCTGCAGCGACTGTGTCAAGCAGCAAGGATGGACCAGCTTCCGGCAATAGAACAGGAGAATCCTGCAACTAAATCTAATGATTAAGTGCCACTTAGATAAGTTATGTGCCTCGTGCAAAGTCCAGTACTCATTGGCAGAGGATGTTCTCAATAAGTATTTTTTGAATGAAAAAATTAATGAATGATAAAGACACTGCGACTCAGATCTTCTGATCCAGTATATATTTTGCCATGTGACATGAAAGTGAAATAAACCTGAGTATTTTGATAAGTAGTAGTAAGACATATTAATTTTTCCTATTTCTACTTTTTAAAAATTACATTTATTTTTGATAGTGTCATTTAAGAGAAATGTAATTAGCTAAATAGGATTTTATTTTTTGTAAGGATAGAGTTTTATTATGCTTCAGGTCTACTTTTTAAAATACAATTTTAATGGTGTGGTTTTACTTTTTGTTATTCATATATAGGTATCAAAACTGCTTTCACCAGAAAATGTGGGGAGACCGCTTTCATTGCACCTAAGTGTGAAATGATTCCAATTGAATGGGTTTGTAGAAGAATAGCAACTGGTTCTTTTCTCAAAAGAAATCCTGGTGTCAAAGAAGGGTACAAATTTTACCCTCCTAAAGTGGAGATGTTTTTTAAGGTATTTATTTTATGCATCTGTCTTACTATAACACAACTACAAACTTAAAGTCAAACATTTAAACATTAAATCGATGATGTTTCTCTCTCATTTATGTTTTCATCTCTCTCTACCCCTTTCCCTCTCAAAAAAAAAAACAATTAAAGAAACTTTTTACATTACAGTTGTCACTCTAGAAACATGTCAATAATGTATACTTCCATTAGCAATCATAATTCAGCTTTTAAAAAGGAAACACCTTTGAAAACCTATCTTACTTTCTACCAAGGTGACTAACAAAATAAAATTAGAAATTACTAGGAAGAAAAGTAACAATTCAAAAAAATTTTTAATTTACTGTTGAAGAATTTGAAGTAAAGGCTACTGTGAGGGGTCTTTTATATTCTAACTAGAGGCCCGATGCACGAAATTCATGCAAGGGGCTCGCTCGGCCCTCGCAGCCCCAGTTTCGTCCAGTCTAATTAGCATATTACGCTTTTATTATAGATACAGGAAAACTATTATCAATGTCTCTTATAAGCAAAAACATACAATAGAGGAAGTAGGAGTCCGTGGTTATGAACTTGTATTGGTTTTCTTTATTGAAACTGCTTTTCTCTTTCCATACTTGTGTTTAAGTTAGTTTCTAGAGAGAGGCCAAATTCTTTCAATACTTTATAATTAGAATGTTATCCAGATATTTTAAGTTTTAAAGTAACTATTGAAAGTAGACCAACTGAATATATTTGCTGTGAATTAAAGGGTATTTTAAATAAAATTTAATCTTTAGGGGAAATTTTTTAGAGGGATATTTCTGAGGATTCATGCTCAAGGGAAAAAGGACTTCAGATTCTTAGAAAAGTTCAAATATCTTATATTTAAACTAGAGGCCCGATGCATGAAAATTCGTGCAAGAGTAGGCCTTCCTTTCCCAGCTGCTGGCACCAGCTTGGCTCTAGGACCCAGGCTGGTCCCTCCAGCACCCGGGACCCGGCTTTGTCAGGAAGGATGTCTGGTCTAATTAGCATATTATCCTTTTATTATAGATTAATTGTAATCCTATACTTTATTTTCAGGATGATGCCAATAATGATCCACAGTGGTCTGAGGAACAACTCATTGCTGCAAAATTTTGCTTTGCTGGACTTGTTATAGGCCAGACTGAAGTGGATATCATGAATCATGCTACACAGGCTATTTTTGAAATACTGGAGAAATCCTGGTTGCCCCAGGACTGTACACTGGTTGATATGAAGGTACAAATAAAATGAAGATTTAAAAGTAAAAAATTACAACTGAGAAATGTCTTTAGTAGTATAGTTTTGAGAAACTTTTCTTTGGTGATCTGCTGTTTCTAGATTGAATTTGGTGTTGATGTCACCACCAAAGAAATTGTTCTTGCTGATGTTATTGATAATGATTCCTGGAGACTCTGGCCATCAGGAGATCGAAGCCAACAGAAAGACAAACAGGTAAGTGATTCTTCAGGGTTGTTGTTACGTTTTATTCATTGCAAGATCAGGCTCTGGTAGAGGAGAAAGGAAAAGTGGGAGGCAAGAAAGGCAATTATTATTTACTAGAGGCCTGGTTCACAGTGTGTGGGGGGGCGGGGAGCGGAGGGCGTGTCCCTCAGCACGGCCTGCACCCTCTCTCAATCCAGGACCACTCAGAGGATGTCCGACTGCTGGTTTAGGCCCGATCCCGCAGGGATCACTCTCACAATCCGGGACTGCTGGCTCCTAACCGCTGGCCTACCTGATTGCTCCTAACCACTCTGCCTGCCTGCCTCATCTCTCCTAACCACTCTGCCTGCCTGTCTCATTGCCCCTAACCACCTCTGCCTCGGCCCCCACCACCATGGCTTTGTTGGGAAGTACACCCAGAATGATGTCCGGGAGGTTGTTTGGCTGTCCGGTCTAATTAGCATATTATACTTTTATTATAGACTAGTGACCCGGTGCACAAAATTCATGCACATTAAAAGGGAATTAATTAGAGGAAACATTGTAATATTGTTATTTGCCCTTTCTCTATAATAGAAGTGTCAGAGATGAAAGAAAATTAGTAAAATGTATATGAAAATCTCCCTCCTGTAAGAGTCTGGGGCACGCTGTGGGACCCAGAGTCAAGTCCCCGACGACCGCGCAAGCGCGCCTCTAAATCACATGAGACCCAGACCCGGCGGCCCCACCCCCGTCAAGCCCCGCTGAGTCGGGGGTACAGCTGAATCCCCCGGCCCAGCACCAGGGCACGACGACCATTTGCATATTAGCTCTTTATTATATAGGCTTATGATTTGAACCTGTGTTGTTGATTGCTATTTATTTAAGGCTAAATATCTCATATTTCCTATATCTTGGAAAAAAAGGTAGGAATAATACCTTACATTTACAATGCAGATTTCTCATTATTGTAATAGACTCACACAGCAAGTATTATCTTTGATTACTTGAAAACTAAGATTTTGAAAGATAGATATCTTCACAATTACAGCAGTAAGTGGCAGATCTGGAACTCTATCTCAAGTCTTCTGGATCTTACCAGGTTCTATTTCTATTCTTTCTGAAAAAAACATAGGGCAAGGTTCACTTTATATGAGAATTGTCATGGCAGTTAATTGTAGTTTAAGTGTACTTCACTAAATTATTTTTACTCTAAATTCAAGAAATGAATTCATAAACTCAGATACATTTTCAGATATACCCTTTGCTAGGCAAACTCTTCATAATCTGTATCCAAAACTCAGAAACCAAATAATTTCAGATAGCAAGAATATTACTAATTAAATACTTGCAGCCTCAACTTTCTGTCTTTATTTTCTAGTCATATCGTGACCTCAAGGAAGTAACTCCTGAAGGGCTCCAGATGGTAAAGAAAAATTTTGAGTGGGTTGCTGAAAGAGTAGAGGTAAACCTTTTGTTGTAAATCCACACTATATTATGTGTTTTTCTCTCAGAACTTCTTACTTCAAAATAACTGGATCCCTGGATCCCCTGCTATTAAGTTTCCATTACACTTCTCCCAAATCCAGTTGAGGAAATCTAGAATCCTTGTTTCCTCCGGCCCCTGCAAGAGAAGTCTTGCATTTCTTACTAACCTCTCCACTGCTACTCAGAGTTCCATTAGCATGGGTTCCATTATCAGAGTTCAGAATTAAGAGTTCCTTGTGACATTAAAATGTCACTTTAAGAACTATGGTATTGTCATTACTGTGATTCCATGGAAATTGAATAGGATTTGTGGTTATCCAATCGTCCTATCTTTCAGATCATCATTTCCATGGGAATATGCATTTGGATTCCTGTGACTAACTTAAAGATTTATAAAACAACCTCTGTATTTTGGCTGATTATGCCTTAAAACCTCCATTAAACAGACTGTACTAAAAATCTTAGGATAAAATATATTTATAGTTTTCTGAATATTAGTTAGAAGTTGAATATTTATCCATTGCTTATTATAATTAACAGTTTGGTTAAGAAATCATACTCTTTTAATTATGAAGAACTCTTCTTTATAGAAGTTATTTTGAAAAGTAAATTCTCTTACATTTTGTTCTGTTTATCTTAAATTTGGTCTATTAAAAAATAAAATATTCTGTTCAGATGTATTTTTAGTATAAACTGTAGCTCTACAAATTAACTCGTTCCAATATTTATCCATTTTTGTCCTTATCTTCTTTTGCTACGCATGTTTTTTTCTTCCAGTTGCTTCTGAAATCAAAAAATCAGTGCAGGGTTGTAGTATTAATGGGCTCAACTTCTGATCTTGGTCACTGTGAAAAAATCAAGAAGGCTTGTGGCTATTTTGGCATTCCATGTGAACTTCGGGTGACCTCTGCCCATAAAGGACCAGATGAAACGCTGAGGATTAAAGCTGAGTACGAAGGTAAACATCAGATAACTGGAGCATTTCAGGATGTTCTCCACATTTTGCCAAAGAATTTTATGTTTAGACTAGTAATGCTTATAAAAGAGTGGGTTAAAGAGAATGATTTGACAATTCAAGCATGGAAGGAAGATAAAGACTACAATTAGTCTTTATTATTTTTTAAAATATATTTTATTGACTTTTTAGAGAGAGAGGAAGGGAGAGGGATAGAGAGAAACATCCATGATGAGAAAGGAACATCATCGATTGTCTGCCTCCTGCATACCCCCCACAGGGAATTGAGCCTGCAACCTGGGCATGTGCTCTGATTGGGAATTGAATCAGTGGCCTCTTGGTTCCTGGCTCGACACTCAACCACTGAGCTACACAGGCCGGGCTGTCTTTACCTAATAAGAAGCCCCTCAAACACTATTTCTTAAATACTCCAACAGAAAATAGGGCCCATGTCAATTATGAAAAGCCTGAGGTTGAAGCAGCAGATCTTCTCAAGTATCTTTAATGACCAGCTTTTCCTGGGAGGCAAACATGAAATTAAGTAATTTCAGAATTGAGTATATAAAAGAAATCTCTTGATGAAATAGCAGTGATCTAAAATAATGGAGCCCTAGAGACCATGACCAAATGTTTTTCAACTGGAAAAAATGTTTTTGAATATTCTTTTCAAAGGTTGTTGCTACAAGAGTGAAGTTAAGTTTTTTTAGAGAGGAGGGAAAGGTCTCAGAATCCTTTGATAAAATAATAAAAGCCAGACCTCTTTTTCCAGAAAAATGCAAAGGAGCAATTTATAATTTTATCAAAGAATGAAATGTTTTAGAGATATGTTAGAAAATACATTGAAGGGTTTTAAATACTTGAGTACTATATTGAATTTGTCTTCAACTCTTTTTTAAACCTAAAGCTCTAGCCTCTGTTACTCTTAAAGGACAGTGGTCTGGTGGTGGTGGTGTTTCCTTGAGTCTGAGCAGCAATAGTAGAAGTGGCCTTTGAGCCCTTCCCTTTAATCTTTGGTACCCGCTCCTCTCCTTTAACCTGTGGATCTCAAAGATGGCCAAACCTATTCTTGCTACTTCACTGCTTGATGTATAATAAGTGGCAGAGTGAGCCTTATATTTAGAATATAATAATATGTAATATGAATATGTGATGTCTTATTTATGCTTTTCTGGAGACTGATGAAGGAACTGAAGGAGTTAAGACACATGGGCCCTTATTTTCAACCTATCTTTAAATATCATTTGACTATTTAGCATAATTATAAACCTATGATTTCCCTAGGGGATGGCATTCCTACAGTCTTTGTGGCAGTGGCAGGCAGAAGCAATGGTTTAGGACCAGTGATGTCTGGTAACACTGCATACCCAGTTATCAGCTGTCCTCCCCTCACTGCAGACTGGGGCGCTCAGGATGTGTGGTCTTCTCTTCGACTACCCAGTGGTAAGATACATTGAATTTTTAAAAATTCTTTATTACAAAGTTTAAACATGCACAATAGTATAGAGAATAATGTAATAAAACCTTATGTACCCCTTACCCAGCTTCAGCAATTAACATCTTGTTGCATCTGTAGCCCTCTTCTGGATTATTTTAAAGCAGATCTTAGACATTATAGCATTTTATACTTAAACTAGAGGCCCAATGCACGAATTCGTGCACATTGAAAGGAAATGAATTAGAAGGAATATTTTTATATCGCTATTCGCCCTTTCTGTAATAGAAGTGTCAACCAAATTCACAATTGAAAATGACAGATGGAAACACACATGTGCGATTGGCGCCAGAGAGAATTTTATATGTATCGCACATGCGTGAGTCAACTTAGGCTTTTATATATATAGAATAAACTTGCTTAATTAGACCTGCTTTCTGATGTAGCTAAACTTTCCAGCCCAGTGAAGCACCTCAACTTCTCTTTCAGGTAATTGTCAGCAACACAGCAGTAAATATCAACATAAAGCAGACTGTTATTGTAGATCATGCAGGGAGAACAAAGGGTAAAATATTTAACTGCAGCGTGTTTGACTATATTCTGCGCAGTGAGAAAACCTTAAGTCGTTTTCAAGTTCCACAATTTCTTCTTTTCAGTCGGGTCAAGTTTCTAAACTTTCTAAATCTCCGTTTTCTGGCTAATGAAAAGAAAATAGGATTCCACTGAGTCTCCTATCTACCTACTCCAGGACTTCTGTGAGGATCAAATGAGATGAGGCATGGGAAAACGCTTCATAGACATCTGGTTAAAGTGTAAAATGTTTGCACCTGGCTATAAAGCAAGCCGTGTTCCTGGGCTGAAGAAACTCCAAGGGGCTAGTGTCGCTAGGGAGAGGAAGCCGGGCGTTGCTGCAATGTCATTACCCGGTGCCCACAGCGACAATTTCTGAGGGCCACGTTTTGTGCCATGGGGGTCTCAGCAGTGTTGGCTGCAATTTGGTGGGGTGTTGCTCCGGGGTGGTAGAGGAGCCTGTGTCCCATTTGGGGAAGCCGAGTGTTGCTTTGTGGTCGCCAGGTCTGCGGTGCCATTCCTTTGTAAATGGCCAGTGCACATCACAGCAGCTCCTGCATTGAGCATTTGCCCCCTGATGGTCAGTGCGCATCATAGCGACCAGTCAGACAGTTGGGGGGACACTTAGCATATTAGCCTTTTATATAGAGAGATACTTAAATATACCTCTCTAAGTGGTAATGACTCTAGTTTTTAAATCATAAGCTTGATACCCTTTATACACCTAAGAAAAATTAATGGTAATTTCTTAAAATCATCTATTTAGTGTTCATGTTTTTCCAGTCTTCTCATTTGTTTATGAATTTTCTTTTAGGAAACTTGTAGGATCTTTTGTCTATCCATTCTTAAATTTCACAAAGATGTGTCTTGATGAGTCTGTTTTCATTCTTGGCTTTTAGTGAGGGCTTTTACTCTGGAATTCTGATTCTTTTAGTCCTGGGAAGCTTTTCTGATTTACTTAATAATTTCCTTCCCCTTCCATTTTCTTTCGTTTTTTTGATTTATTATTCAAATTTGGACCTCCTTGATATCTATTTTCTTTCTCTTGTTGCTATACTTTCTGGAGTATTTATAGTAACATCTTTTATTTGAGATTATTGTGTCTTTCACATTGGTTCCTTTCCTCAGCTATGTAGAAAACTGGGGCACTGTAACAAGCCAGTTGGAAGCCCTGTGCAGATGGGTGGGGCTTGTCAAAAGTGGGCTCCACTGTGGGGTCATCTGGTAAGGCTGTTCTTTGAATAACCTCTCACGTCAATGTCTTTCAGTCTTTTCTCATGTGTTGCCCAGAATTACCCAGAGTACCTTTCTAGGCTCAGTCTCCTACTTGGAGGAATAAGCCTGGCTGCTAGCATTTAGGAAGCTGGGGACCTTAATATTTGCAAACTTAGTCCCGTTTTCACTATGGCATTTCGTGTCTCAGCTGTGCCTGGTGTCCTCCAGTCCACAGAAGTCTGGACAAGTCTGTTTTGCCTTCATAAAAATTTAAAATTGCCATGGCCCGGAAGGTGCTTGCTTAGGTACATAGGGTGGGGAAGGGAATTTGAGGGGCCAAACTGCTTCTTGATTTCCTTCTGCTTTGCCCCATTTTCACCCCCACTCCTCCCTTCAGATGTGTCTGGTGCCCCTAATTCCTGAACCTTTCAGTGGGTTCCGTCAGGCTGCTTCTCATCCTTCCCTGCTTCCAGTTTAGGATTACATTTTCTTGGTATACTAAGTAGTGACCACTCCTTTTGCCTTTCAGCTGTGTTTATGTCTATTTTCTTTATTCCCTTTACTGCTTTTTATACAACTTCTGATAACTATAAATAAAACTGTAACCAAATCTATACTAAAGGAAATAATATAGATATTATCCATGCAGCTTAAAATAAGCTATCTATGGGAATGTGGTAAGCAAAAATTACATGTTTTTAAACATTTTTGAAAATATATTTTTATTGATTTCGGAGAGGAAGGGAAATAGAGAGAGGTAGAATCATCAATGATGAGAGAACCATTGATCAGCTGCCTCCTGCTTGCCCCCCCCCCACTGAAGATTGAGCCCACAACCTGGGCATGTGCCCGTGACTGGAATCAAACCTGGGACCTTTCAGTTCTCAGGCCAACACTTTATCCACTGAGCCAAACTAGCTAGGGTGCAAAAATTAGATTTTATTTAGTATTGTTCAAGGAGAAACAGAGAACTGAAGATTTGTACATTCTGATCACTGGGATTGTGGGATTACCTTTTGAGGAATAGTGTTTCAGTGGCCTGGGTAAAATCCTGAAAACTCCCATTTCTCTTTCTCTCTCTTTTTTTTTTTTTTTTTTTTTTTAAAAAAAATATATTTTTTATTGATTTTTTACAGAGAGGAAGGGAGAGAGATAGAGAGTCAGAAACATCGATGAGAGAGAAACATCGATCAGCCGCCTCCTGCACATCTGCTGGGGATATGCCCGCAACCCAGGTACATGCCCTTGACCGGAATCGAACCTGGGACCCTTCAGTCCGCAGGCCAACGCTCTATCCACTGAGCCAAACCGGTTTCGGCTCTCTTTCTCTTAAAGCATGCTCACTAGTTAATCTAATATTTTTTTCCGCTTCAGGTATTTGCCTGTCATCCTTACGCAGGGGCCATGCTAATACTCTCTTCAGTGTCATCTTTGGGATAACACTAAAAGTAAAGTGACTGATGTTACATATGTTAACACAAATTAATAAATTAACCTTGTGATTTATACTATAATATGGTTTTTTGTTGTTGTTAATCCTTACCCAAGGATATTTTTCCATTGATGTTTTTTTTTAGGGAGAGAGAGAAAGGGTTAGGGAGAGACAGAGAGAGAAACATCAATGTGAGAGAGAGACATCCATTAGTTGCCTCCCCACACGCACCCCTAAAAAGGGACCACACAGTCCCCGGCATCTCCACCAAAAAACAACAACAACCACAAAAAAGGGACCACATACTAGGGATTAGGGATCGAGCCTGCAACCGAGGTATATGCCCTTCACTGGGACAGTCCACAGGTTGACGCTCTATTCACTGAGCCAAACCGGCGAGGACTGTAATCTGTTCTTATTGGGGATATTATAGTCAGAGTCAAAGAGCATAGTGAATTCCAAGAATATTGGGAAAGGGGAGCTTTTGGATTGATCAGATAGCTACTCTTTGACTTTAGTGATGGTCATAAGTACCACCTCAAGAAACCAAAGCTGGGCAAACATGTGGCCCCCAAGGAAGTTAATTTTTTTTAATCTATGGTCATTTCTTTTTTATTAATTTTTTTTGATTGATTTTTTTTAGAGAGAGACATTGATGTGTTGTTCCATCCATTTATATATTCATTGGTTGATTCTCATATGTGCCCTCACCAGGAATTGAACCTGCAACCTTGGTGTATTTGAGACAACACTCTAACCAAGTGAGCTACACAGCCATGGCTACTCTTCAGTCTTTTAGATCTTATTACTATTAAATTTACTTACAACCTGATACTTATTAAGGTTATGCTTTGGATTTGACTCTTTTACTGCGTAAAAATGTTAAAGATTAGTTAGAATGTAAAAACAAAAGGAGTAGCTAAGATATTATTAAAACAATTAGCATGCCTCAAGTTTGTCTAAGAACAGCTGTTTCTACCCTCTTGTCCCTTGTTTTATTTCTGTTGTCCTTCACCAGGATTTAAAGGGATTGTGTATGTGAAAAGAACTTTGAAAAGGGTAAATATCTTTGCCAGTGAATTCAGAGAGAAGAGTCATAGATAATGCATATAAAATACCTGCTCGTAGCAGATATATATTACTTTCCTCTTATAATCACTTCACCTCCCCAACATTAAGGATAGTAACTCCTGCAGAAATACTTGAAATAAGAATAATACAGTAGTTTTTATTATGGATGGTTAACAGGACTTCTCTGAGTATAAAATAGTTTGCTTAAGTAGTACTTTCAGTATTAATTGACAGCTCAATTTTCTGTCTTTTCCTTTCTGAACCAATAGGTCTTGGCTGTTCAACCATACTTTCTCCAGAAGGATCAGCTCAGTTTGCTGCTCAGATATTTGGATTAAACAACCATTTGGTGTGGGCCAAACTGCGAGCAAGTATATTGAATACATGGATTTCCTTGAAGCAGGCTGACAAGAAAATACGAGAGGGCAATTTATAAGAAAAGAACATCGTTGCATTTTTTTAGGAGAAAAACTATAACTTTCTAGTTTATAGAAATTATAGAAAAAACTATAGCAAAATTATAGAAAAAACTAATTTTTTTTCCTGCAGAAAAAAAAATCAGGCAAGATGAAAAGATTTTAAATCAGAGAAAACGAAACTTATTAGTGAATAATTGCTTCTCTAGATTCATGGATTAGTAGAATATATGTACATATCTAAAGACATTTTAAAATTAACCTCTTTCCCACTGTACGGTCATTGCTAGGTAGGTAACAATCAAATAAATTTCTTAAATTCTAATCATGTCCTATTATAGAGCTCTGAAGTTACTACTTATATCTCCACCCATAAGTTCTAGACAGTTAAAGTGGCTTTATTAAGAACAGCTGATAAAGAGCAATACCGTTCTCTTCCTCAATTTGATCTTTACAAAATTCTAAGGACATGGTTTTTTATTTGCAGTCAGTATCTCAGAAAATGGTGTGTATCTTTAGCTATTGATAGACATGTTTTGTTTTCATTTTGTTTTGTTTTTTTTTCCTGAAGAAAAGTTGAGATTGATGGGGAAGGGAGGGAAGACACAAAATAAGATGAAGAGGCAATGTGAAAGCCATGGAAAGGGAACTTTTCTGAGAACTTCTGATGGGTGTCAGAGCAATTTGCCATGGAAAAAAAGTAGAGCCACCTTTGCCTTCAAATGAAAGACTTAGTGAATCTTACTTGGCTATGGTGGGAATCTATGTGGGTCATAAAATTCTTTTAATTCTGATAAAACGTATTTGAGCCACACTAATAATCCCCAGTGTACCATCATTTTCAAAAATTGGAATCTCCCAGGTGATAACCATAACTAGTTTATTTCTTATAACAGAATAAATCTGAACAGTGTACCCAGCAAGTTGTTACTGAGAGGTATTATAGTTCACCATCAATCTATAAACCATATAGATTGGGACTCTTTTGTTATGCAGCCATGAGGATTTTATAGGTCACTAAACTTTCATCCAAGTGTCCATGAAACCCCTTACACTTGGTATGACTCTTACCAATGACCTACACAGTCTGCACTGTTTGCCTCTCAAACATTAACGAAGTGGCATTTCTTACACGACTCTCACCTAATCTCTGGTGGAGTGTGTTTAACTTACCACTCCTTTCCTGGGGTAGACAACAATATATCCCAACATCTCTTGATCATTTCTCTATTACTCTTTCCTCTTAAGTATTGATGTTTCCTACTATTGAGACTTTCCCTTGTTCACAAATAATGATTGGATCATCTTCACTGCTCCAGCTAAAACTAGCATCCATTGACTTCCAGCTATGTCTGTAAACTTGTATATTCAACTGTCCATCTCTCCCTGTCTGAATGCTCCAAACTTAATTCATCTTCCACCAACCTTGTAACTGGCTGCACTCATTCTCCCAAATCAGAAGCTTGATTTCATCCTCAATGTTTTTCTTGACTTTTCACATCTAACTCATCACCAAATATTGGATTTACCCTGTTTACCCATTCTCTGTGCAAAAGCCGCAAGAACGGGTCAAATTCTACACATGGTGTGACCTAGAAGGACTTCCTTCTCAACCCAACCTTTTTGAAGTTTGTCCAAGAACTTACAACATACCTTAAATCCCTTTTGCAACATTGACTCCTTTGAAAATATGCTTTTTACCCTCCAGAAAAGTATACACACTGAAGTTATCAACCGATCCCACTGATGGTGCAGTTCTCTTGAAGTCTACACAAGGACTGTAGGTTAAGTAGGGAACTTAATTGCTCTCAATTATTGTACTATCTCTTTTTGGTATCTTTACTTCTTAGAATGTCCTCATTTCTGTCATTAAAGCTATTCATTAGTTAATAGAACTTTATTTTTACTAACTCCACAAAACATTCCTTAATGACCGCTAGCTCCAGTAGCCACAAGTAGTTCTTTCTCTGTTGGATTGTAAACTTCAAAGGAGAAAATACAGTTTTACACTTCGTTTACCTTAAACTGCCTCATAATCTGATACGCTTTGCCTAGCTACCTGAGATGGGGGAATTATGTGCTCTTAATAGTCTGTGTTGAGGACAATTAAAAAGATTGTCATTTGAGATCTCTGGGGTGATAACTCAGCCTCTCTGCAGGGTGCTGCAGCGACATAGCCACAGTTACAAATGCACAGAGGGCCCTGGAGCCTCCTGGGTTCATGAGAATGGGGACCACACACATCAGCTGCAGAGACCGTCCTGATTCCCAGTCCAGCTCTGCTCCATCCCAGCTGAGGGACGCGCTGATCCCTGGTTCTGACCTGTGAAATGGGAAGGATGGGCTGGGCTGGCTCCAGGTGGACACTGGCTGGGCGGCAGGGATGACTCTTACTGTCTACACTACAGGAACAGGAATGGGCCAGCAGATGGCGACAGCCTCTGCCGCTTCCCAAGGCAGGCAGCAAGGGTGGGCGAAAACCACACCACGTTACCCTTTAGAAGGGGTAAGTGGGAGGCTGAAGGATGACTTTGGGACCAGGTGGGCGGCCAAATGCCCTGGGAGGCCTGTTCCGCCTGCCACTGTGCAGACTGGTCCCCTCTTGGCCACACTGCGCAGGCCAAGCCCTCCAGGAACTGGACGTCAACACAGACTGGGTGCTCGGGGCGTTGAGGGGGTGGAGATGGGGAGGGACGGGGATGGGGGGTTGTTAGTGAGCAGAGTGCTGGTGTCTGCACCCCTCTATCTAAGGGGTCAACTCATCAGCCCCTCCCAGGCTGGTTTGATGACCCTGGGGCTGCAGGCAGGACCTGGAAGACCAGTGACAGGCTGGGGCACGGGCTCAGCAGGTCCCTGAGCTGCAGGGGAGTGTTGAGGGTGCTGTGTTCTGGGGCTCCAGGGGATGAGAAATGCCACCGGGGTGGGGTGGCATGAGGGACTTGGACGAGGCGGCACAGGGGCAGAGCCACACCTCACAGCCAATGTGGGAAGTCAGCCTGTTTGCAGTGGGACTCTGCCAAGGTTATCAGCTGGGAAGAACGGAGGGACAAAGAGCAGCTGCCCAGAGGCACTGGTGCAATAATAGGACCCCTGTCTGCTGGGGGTGAGGGGAAGAGTGAAGCCCATCAGAGCAAATGGTCACTGGGTGAAGGGCCGCTTACCCAGAGGTCACACATAAAGGAGAAAGGCTCTGGGCAGCCCAGGGTTCCATTTTCAGCTCTGCCCTTTTACTGCTGTGTACCCTTGAAGAAGTCACTTGCCCTCTCTGTGCTGCAGTAGCCTCACCTGTACAATGGGCACATGAACACAGTGTGGGGTTATGTTAGGACAGTGGAGGGGCACCTGAAGATGGAGGAGTCACGTTAGGATGGAAGAGGGGCCACGTGAAAATGAGGGGAGATTGAAGGGATGGGGCCAGGAGCACCAGAAGCTGATGAGGCAGGAAGGACCCTGTCCTGGAGCCCTCCGAGGGACCACAGCCCTAGACGCCCTGATTTCAGATACTGGCACCCAGATGGGGAGAGCACTTGTTCCTGTTGCTTCAGGCCAGTCTGTGGTCATCAGAGCAGCAGCTTCAGGAAATAGACCCTCCTTTTGGGGCTTTGACCAGGTTCTGGGAACAGCTGAGCCATGTGCTCCAGCAGGGGAGACCCCCTAGACCTCACTGCGGGGCTCACTGGAAGATCCATCCCTGTGTCTGTGCCTCAGCCCTGTCTCCTGCTCCCTGGGGCTTCTCCACAGTGACAGTGCAGTGGGAAGCACAGGCCACCTGGCTCAGGGACTCCCACGGCCTTGCCCAGCCCCCAGCTGCAGGATGATGCAGGGCACTCCCCAGCCCCGCCTTCCCCTAAGGAGTTCAGCCTGGGCCTGGGCTTCCCGGAGCACCTGGGTTATCAGGAGCCCACAACTGGGTTGCCATGCGCATATTCTAGATGCCAAGACTGAGGCTGGGGGGGGGGGGGGGGGGAAGGTCCCTACCCCCAACCCACCTCCCCCTCAACTCAGCCCAGCTCATAGGTGGCTTCCCCAGCTGCCTCCCGGTTGCCATGGTGTGGGAGGAGGAGGAGGAGGAAGGGCAGATTTCTGAGAAGCAATCCCAAAATACATCAACTGGCCCCTCCTTCCTCGCTCCCTATCTCCAATATCAAAGCATCCATTTGTGCAGCTGGGGCGGGGCCTCTTCCTAGCCAGGAGCAAAAGAGGTCAAGAAGGCAGAGAGAGGGTCCAGGGAGTGGGTTCTGGGACGCCAACCTCACCCAGCAAATTTCCTGGGCCTGGGCTCCATTGCCCTCCCACAGTTCCCAGACCAGGTGGGCTCTTTCCTGCCTTCCTGCCTTTGCACATGCAGTTCCCTCCACCTGGAATGCCCTTCCTCATCCTTCAGGTCCCAGCCAGCTTTAACTCCACTGGAGAATTTTCCCTGAGTCCCTTGCACCCACCCATCCCAGTCACAGCCATTTTCTTGGTGATGCTCTCACCAGGCAGTGAGGTCTTGGGGATGCTAGCTTTGCCTCAGTACTCCCAAGCCTGGCACAGACAGGTGCTCAGTAAAGCTGAAGGGAGGGAAGGAGAGAGGAAAGGTGTATCGCAAATCAGCGAACTGGACAAGATGCCTTAATGAGCCAATTAGTTAGGAGTCATCTTTATTGTTTGAGGTTCAGAGCAGATTACCTCTGTCAAATTCTGAACAAACACAGGAAGGAGTATTTCCTTTTTATTTCCTTCTAGTTCTTTGTGTAAGACAGCTTGTAACCTTGAGTACATATCATATCTAATCAAACACCTGTCATATCTATACAGACAACTTGTAACTTTGAGTACCATATCATATCTATACAGACACCTGTAACCTTGGATGAACAAACACTTGGCAAATACGTGAATTAATATCAGTATCAGTGTATCAGCCCCTTTAGATAGCTAGCTTGCAAGGTCAGACAGTTAAGTTCATCTTTTCTATTCAAACAAAAAGTTATTTTATAGTCTAAAAATAGCAGAGTTGACGTACAGAATAAGAGAATGTCTAAGAATAACAGAGTAGTTCAAACAGCAGTTTTCCAAAGGAGGGATTACTATGCTTCATTATCTAGAACTCCCTTAACCCCCCTAAAAGCTAGGCCTAACTGGTTTGAAACCTGTGACAGTTCCACCTCTCTTCCCATGACTTTTACTAATTCGCAGAGATTATATCCTCCTGAGCTAAAGTTCACTCTACCATCTGTGCTGTTTTTGCATTGTACTATATTGACCAGGCATGAAATGTTCCAGGCATCACAGAAAAAACCATGCGCCAGAGATGGTTTCTGCCCAAGGAACTCACAGCTGAGGGGAGAAATAAGAAGCAAAAAACTCATTCAGTTAAAAAGTTGAGTACCAGGAACAAACAAAAGAGTTGAGGACCAATGATATACCAGCCAGCGTGCTACAAAGATCCTAGCAAGACTGCTGCAAGTGGACAAATATGGTTCCTGTTTTTATGGAAATTATAGTCAATGTAGAGAGACGGGCCTTACACATTGACCAATGCTCAGAAACAGAGAGCTCTGTGAAGGTCAAAGAAGTTTAAGCCTGGGACCAGGATGCAGAAATATTGAAGGATGAAAAGTAGTTAGCTAGGTTGCTGGTATAGAGAGGAGAGGGGAAGAGGCAGGATTTAGTAGGATCCTGACAAAATAGGAGTCTATAAAGAGTAAGAGTTCAATAAAATGTCCTGTCATTTCATCAAGTACTCAATAGGTACTCTGTTCTGACATTCAAACACACCTTGATTATTTAATCTTACAAAACCCCTAAACCTCGTCTGTGTTGCTTGAGTGCTGACTATACCAGGATGCATGAATTATCTTTTCTCCCCAGAAGAGTTATATATTATCCCTATTTTGCCGTCAGGAAAATTGGGCCTCTGATAAATTAAGTAATGTGTTCACAGTCTCTAGTGTAAGCATGTCAAACTCACAACAAATATTTTTGCGGGCCAGCCAATATAACGGTATGCAAGAAACGTTTTAATAAAAATTTTGTAACTTTATTTTTACAATATCCTGTTATACACAATTATTAATAATGAACTACAACCTTTGCTAATGAATAATTACTATAATCGTGTTGCATTCATCTCCCTTACACACTTTAAGCGCAGGTGCACCATTTCTCTCCACTAATACTAGCAGCAAATATTTTAGCAGCCAATTGCCACGTCATTAGTCTTGGACTGACTTGTTTGGTGTGTGTAACAGGAAATATTTCGCTTTCGGAGAACAAGAAAAGTAGGTTTATTGTGTTACACTTACTAATTTGTGCAGTTATTCAGTGTCTGGTAAGTTAATGTTCAAGAAAAAGCATTAATTTTTATTAAAATGTTTTATTATTTTATGTTAACAATGACTCATTTATTGCACCCCTTTCTATTCAGCGTGTCTCTATGGAACAAAACCTACGTTTCTGTGAAAATTGAAGCTTTTGTTTTTTTGTGGCCCACATAAACTTAAACCTTGTTTATTTGGCCTGTGGTAGCCTTTGAGTTTGACATGCTTGCTCTCGTGAGTCTTAGAGCCAGGAACTAACCCGGACATTGTTACCCGACTGCTCCTAAGCTGGAGTCCAAAGGGCAGCCAAAGGGTTCCTTCCACCACATGTGCTCAGCACTGGGAGATTCCTTTCTTCTGTGCCTTTGCCCATATTCCCTTCTCTGCGGAAACTTTACTCAGAACCAACCCCAGGTTTTCCTATTACCTTTCAAAACCCCCTTCAAATGTCAATTCCCCTATGAAAGACTCTCAAGCAGCAAGAAACCGTCTCTCTTTCAAACGACTCTTTATGGTTTCTAGTTGGTATGCTACCACCCCCATAGGCCTTTTTAAAATTTTTTAGAAAATATATTTTATTGACTTTTTACAGAGAGGAAGGGAGAGGGATAGAGTTAGAAACATCGACCAGCTGCCTCCTGCACACCCCCTACTGGGGATGTGCCGCAACTAAGGTACATGCCCTTGACCGGAATCGAACCTGGGACCTTTCAGTCCGCA